AATTCTTTTTGGGATTTTTTTTTTAAAAAAAAAATTCTGTATTTTTAATTAAGAGCCCCCCCCCCCCCAAAAAAAAAAATAATAATAAAAACACATTGTTAGTTGACTATAACCTAGCTTAAGATAAAATGAAACATGGAGACTTGTTCTGATCTTCTGCTATATGAATGTGGTTCATGGAAACTCCACCATTATCTCTTTATCATGAGTCAGATGAGATAAATTACTGGCTCCAGAAAGAAAAAACTCAAGTAAAGCATTTGTACTTGGATCATGGACGCATGGAGTATTGAGGCAAAGCACTGGAACAAACACACAATTATCAAAAAACATACTTTTTCTAAATTAACCAAACTCGAGTGGAGTTAGTTGGACAGACTTTTCTACCACAAATGCCAAGTAACTTACTAAAAGTGAGTGTTGACAGCAATTTGATTAAAACTACAGCTCCAGTAGGTGTCTGCCTTTTTTTCTTGCTGAGTTCTGGACACAGGCCTTCTGTAAGTGTAGTTTGCCCTAATTGTTGCTTTGCTGCTTTGAAGCTGCATGCAGGACACAGGAAGCTTTCCCTTCTCAGAACCACATTTGGTTTGGTTTGTATCTTAAAGTTGGTTTTTGTTAGGGTTGTTTTGGCTTTTGTTTATGTTTGGTTATTTATGAGTTTTCATTAATCTAATTTGGTTTCTCGTTTGAGGTATTCCTTTTCAGGTTTTCTTTAATATAATTTAATAAATTATCATTATCTTGAAGTCAGAAAATCCTTGTGTGGTCTTCATTAATATTACCCCACTAAAAAAGCCTGGTGGACATAACAAACTGATTGAAGCCAGCTTACTAATTTCAATTAAATACAATTTTGTATTTATAGTGTCCAGGCCCCTCCCACCCTGTGGTTCCACTGCCACAAGGCAAACAGCACCACAACACCCAAAACAGAACCATCTGATTGCTGCACAACTCTTGGCAAAAACTGGAAAAATACGGAACTACAGTGAGAATAAAACATTTACATTTACAAATACAACACTGATTCTATAATTTTTCATGTCTTTGTTGGAGGGCTGTGTGTGTATTCTAATATTATCTTTATGTTTATGTGTTACAGATCCCCAAACAAATGCTGCATCAGCTTGTTACTTAGAATAAACTGAAATTAATTTGTATTTGAATTTAAAGGATGTGTTTTATGTCGTAATTGATTTATGGAAAAATCTAAAGCTTTAACATCTTGTCATTATTTACAGAATTTCAAGATTGAATCAAAGAGTAAATGAGCACTAACCCATCTGTGGGGTTTTATTTTAAACAAAGTGAAATGGATTTGAGTAATGAGACAGACTTTTTAATCTGTTTTGGGGTTTGACTGAATTTGATCTTCCTTCCACTGTTCTCCTCTTCCTCTGAAAAGCTGTCACAACAGTTAATCCCACAGATAAAGATTAGAGAGGCAGGATTTACATCGACCGAAGTATCCATGCGCCTGTTTTTCCAACAAACACCAGAATAAGGGCTCCGTGTATCCTACAGTTCAGTAGAAACCTAAGAAACTGGCTGAAATCGGCTTCAAGGGCATCAGGGGCAAAAACAGCTGAGCGAACACAGAAACCTGCGTCAACATATTACTTTTTATCGACAATTATCCTCAAACTTCTAGACCGTCTCGCGGCGCGCCTCACGCACCTCACAACATCCACTCACAGTGGGACACTGACTGTACTTCACGTCAGAGACAAAACCCAGTTCTTCTTTGTCACATGGCCGAAATGGATTCCTAAAAAGGAAGACAATAAAACTGTTCTTACTTTCTCCAACAATGGCTTTCAGTCCAAGCGGTGCCATGGTGCGTCCTGTCTGCTCTGCACTGCGAACAGCTCCGACTGCTGCAGCGCTTATCTGGACACAACAGGCTTCCGTTCCAAATTAAAAGCCGGGCCAACGATTATATTGTCATTTATTAGCATGCTAGACTAGACTGAATCAGAAAATCCTTTCTTATCACATCTAAAGGAATGCTTTTCTAAAATGTTGTAAATAAGGTTTAACATGATGGTTGTTTTTATGTGTCATTTTGTGTGATTTATCACTGTAGCTTTTTATCTAAGATTAATTGGCAAAATACTAATATGCCTGCCAAGCGGACGGCTGCCAAATTGTTAGTATTATATTGCAAAAGTAATAGAACCAGACGACAGAACCAGGTAAGCGGCTGCTGAAGGACCCCACACCGCCAGAGGGCCCCCAAGAACGTCAAGCATGATTAAACAAAAAAACACAAACATTTTTAAAGTAACATTAAATAACTAAACTAAATGGTATTACACAAAGAAAAAACTATTTCTATTTTATTTTTATGGCTGTATACAAATATTAGGTTAATCTCTTCGTTCTGTTGGCTGCTGCTTCTGAGGAATTAAGATGTTAAAGGTGTTAACTGTAATCATTGTTTGTCTGATGTTACTTTCAAATTGTTAAAATAATGAGGAACACTTAAGTACTTATCTGCATTTATTTATTTGTCCTTTTTTTAGTTTCTCTAAGGTTAAAACCAATACTAATAGTACTAGTTTTGGCACAATACTGGTATAACACAAGCTTTTCCCTCTTGTAAAAGAAAAGCTTGTGAATGTCCTAAAAATAATTCATCAAACTATACAAGTTTGATGAATTATTATTATGAATTATAATGATGCTATACACACAAAGAAGCATCTGGTGTTGACATGTTTGTATGGGGGCCCCAAATGAAAATATGCTTGGGTCCCTGAAAAGTCTCCAGCTGCTGCAGAGTCTTGCCTTGTTTAGTGGAAAAGTCCCATCAGGTGTCTGCATCTCTATTAGATAAAAGACCAAAGATGTTTCATCTCTAGCTGGTGTTGGATGAACATGAGGGTACAAAAAACAAAAGCCATACTAGAAAACGAAACAGGGAACATGTGAACAACCCACCGTTCCATCCTGAGCCCGGTTCTGTTGGAGGTGTTTCTGTTAAGAGCTGCGTGTTCCTCATAAATAATACAAGATGAGTTATGAAAAACAATCATTTAAAATTGATTTTATTCTGTCATGGTTTTAGCAATGTTCCGGACCCACATGCAGGGACGCACTCAGGAAACCAGATAGTTTAAAGGACTTATTTACAAGGAAAAATGTTAAATGTGTGATGACGGGTCCGCTGATGGCCAGGCTGGGAAGGACCGAGACGATCGGCGTTCTGGACAGACAGATCGGGAAGGTGAGTATAAAGAGCAAACTGGGACTGGGACTTGTGAATTGGGCTTACTAGTGCCGGGGAATTTCCGCCAGGGAGAGGTGATGGGGGATCGAGGAGTCCTGGAAGTGATCTGACTCGACAGGCACTACTCACAACTTGGCAGGTCTTCCCCTAGTTCTAATGACTGGGGCGCAGATGAGGACGGGGCAGGCTCGAACCCCGAGCAGGGGAGGAGATGGTTCCAGGCGGTCAGCCGAGTTTGAATAGTCCAGAATAACTGTTGTAGGTAATGCAGACCTCAGGCTGCTGAGTTGAACAATCCAGGACTGGGTCCAAACCGTGGTCTTGGTAACCACGATGGTCAACACTCTGGCGTTAGTGCAGACTGCAGGCTCGTCTTGCTCCTGGGATCAAGCTGATAGCGGGGTGGAGCACGCGGGATGACCTGCGGGCGCCCTCTGGTGGAAAACTGGCAGCAGTACGTTGACAGAGGATCCCAACATATTCAAGCATCACTATCCTGAACCTGAAAATTAACTGGAATTGAAATTAACCAAAACAGGACCTGTTCCCTTTCTCTTTACTGGATCAGCGATGACCTTTGTTTGGGATTTGGAGCCATTAAAAATACTATCTGAAACAATCCATCAGATATTCCAAGAGTCTTGCCAGCTGCTGCTTACAATCTTAACCCATTGTGCAGTCTCCTGGAGACAAATGGGTAAATTCTAGATGTATAACTCAGTGACACCATTGTTAGGTCAAAAAAACAATGAATAAATTAATGATAACATATAGAAATACATTATTTTATGCCAGAGAAAATATATATGGGCTTTCTGTCATTGAAGATTCTAAAAAGCTGAAAGCCATTTCTGTCCATCAGAGGGCGTCAGAGGACCAATAAAGTGCATACAGACACATTCAGTGGATTAGAATCTCATTGAAAAGTTCATTTATTTCAGTAACTCAATTCATCAAGTAAAACATGTTATCTAACATCTGATGTTTTCAAGCCTTTCTGTCAATAATGATGTTTTTTTTTTGTTTTTTTACTCAACTAATGAGTAGAGTATGTTTAAGATTAGAATATTACATTAAACCAATAACAAAAAGAAAAACAATGCAGGAAAGCATGTTTTATAAAAAAGTATGTTTAATACTTGCTTATAGATTGTTACTTTCAAAAAGGATCTTTAATCAGACAAACAAGGTTCATCGGAGCTCTATTTCATTGAATATGACTATGTCAGCACTTTTCATAGAGGATGTCAAACCAATGCCAGGTCTGAGCCATGTCATTTATAATTTGTATGCTGAGAGGTGATGGTGCTACTGCTATAGCTGATGAAGAGTAAACTGCAAGATTTCCATGGAGATCTAGTAGCTCCAATCAGCTACCTGACAATAACATCAAATCCAGATTTAACAGGAGGAACTGAGCTCCAGTTAATTGCTCTCCTCTACTGATGTTCTGCTGAAAAAAAAAACATCAAACTTGAAACATTTGCTTGCTATTACAGTAGCCTCAGCAGTTGCCACTGAACTATGTGTGACTACAGAATGCAGCTTTAATGGGTCCTTCTAAAGCATTCCAGATGTCTAACATAAATAATTCAGATGATCAAAACAGGCGATATGGGAAGAAAAACACACTGCATGTAAATTCTGGAAACATTTAAGCCTTTTCTGAGCATACGTGTATACTCAGAAAAGTTTAGATGTAATATTCTAATGTATCACAGCTGTGAGCTGTTCTGATCCATTTATTTCCCACTGATCTTCTTACCTCAGCAGGTGAATCCTTTATGTATGTTAAATGTTTATCCATGTTGCTCTTTAATGAGTGGCTTTGCATATCAGGATATATCAGCCAACCTGATTGTTTACCTGATGAAAACCAAGCATGCTGTACAAGAGCAGACATTTGCGGCTTTGGGGCATTCAGGTTTGTGTTAAAACAATGCCAAGGATGAAAAATAACAGCAATAATCTTAAAGTTAACAGCAATAAAGTTTTATTGTACATTTTAATGTAAAATCTCAAGGCTCTGGAACAAGGTTCCACAACAGTAGAACCAGAAGAATTAATTTACTCTCAGCAGCAGAGACGTTCATAGCATGCTTGGAGCCCTGGGTGAACCACCGTTCTGGGTCCCCTCCATGAAGTTGTGGTCCAGGAGTGTGGAGGGTGGTGGGGTTAATGTGTACTTTGGATCAGGCACAGTTGACATTCAGATCCTGTCGTTGAGAAAGCGGGGGCTGGGTAAGCACAAACCAAGCCCCCCTCACATGATGCCACCCTGGGAAGTAGCCCATGTCTCTCATATCAGAAACTGCCACTGCTCAGCACGACCTGGGTGACATGTTGTCATTTTATCAACCTTTGCTAAACAGCAGCAAATCTCTGACTTAAAATATGTATTTCTCTTTGAATGACAAAGAGAGGATTCAAGGTGTCACAATGGCTCAGTCAAAGTCAAAACAATAATTTGGTCATTCTGAAATTCTCAAGTTAAACCTGAAGAGATTGTGTTCTGATCAGGCTCATTTGTCAGATTAAAAGTACCCTTTACTACCATTAAGCAGGTGCTGAACATCATTTTCATTCAGCCCTCATTTCTGTATTAACATGTTTTTGGTCAGATGTAATATTCTAATGTTAAATGTCATGTTTTCATTAGATGGAACTGAATATAATCATATGTTGTGCAGCATTGTGTCAGTGTTCATCATTGGTTGCACTGAAAAAAGTGATTTTGGAGAGTGGTAAATATGATCTAA